GATGTTCTGTAGAGTCAGTGAGTTTACTTTTAGTATTTCAGAATTGGTTTAGTTAGATTTTCTTCCTTAAATTATTAAGTTTTGTTTTAATAAATTAACTTATTTGCACTTTTACAGTGCAAAAATATATTTCCCTACCTAATGGTCCTCAGCAGGTAGTTTTAGCAAAATTATTCCCACACAAAACACTATGTTACTGCAAAATCTAAATATTTAAAAATATGAAAGTCAAAACTCCATATCTGGGCTTCATTGCAAAGTGTCAAATATTTAAAGCTTCTACTATATTTTGTGTGTAATTATAAGGAAGAAAATGTCAAGAAAATCAACATAAGATTGCACAACTTCCCTCAATCTTTAACACATTCAGGTAAATTATCTTTTTTGTTTTATTTCAACTGGCAGGTGACTTCTGTTCATCTTTTGGAGTGAATCCTCACCTAAGCAACATAAAAAGCTGGTTCTAACAAACCCAGTTTTACAGATATTGAGCTAAAATATGGTGCAGTCCAAGCACTAAGTGACATTAAACAGGGCTATCTGATTAAATTGCTCAAGGGGAAATAGTTACTTAAAGCCAACAGCTCAGACGCTGGACAGCAGGGAATGGGGAGATCGTTAATGTAAGATTGATTCAAAATATTTTTTTACATTAATATTATTTTTTAGTGGGGCAGCAGGTGAGGCATCAATAGTGGGCCAGACAGAAGTAACCTGCCAAATCAGAAGCCCTGACATAAGATCTGCTTTTAAAACTTTGCCATCAACTCTTGGGTTCAAATATCTCATGAACCAGTAGATGATTTCAAAGACACTCTTAGTGAACGATCATTGGGTGTACATCTATAACTGATTAGCATTTGGAGCTAATTCCGTTCAAAATTGACACCACAGCTAATCCACACAGGCCAACACGGAAATGTTTCCAAATCTGTTAAATGAGCTAAAATTTAGCTGGAAGTCATCTTCAGTTTCACAAACCGCTGAGCGTTACTTATTGTGCACCATTGTTAATCAGCATTGTGTGTTTGCAAAATAACTCATGAACAACTGAATATAATTTAGTGAAACACTTGGTGAATAATCACTAAGTTAACATCTACAACTTATTAACATTTGGGGCCAGCCCAAATCAAGATGTCCACCACAACTAATCAATATTAGCCAACACAAAAGCAGCTAGAACTCAGACAGTTTTACAAAACATTGGGTAGTTGTAGCTGAGAGTTGTTCACAACACACCCTGAACACACAACATCATTTATAAGCTGTTTGACCAAACTGGCTCTAATTTCCTCCTTTCCTTCTCAGTACAATTAAATCTAAAACTCTGGAATAGGCAAAGGGAGATTATTTCAAGATTTTTGTAACTTCTTTCTTGTTTTTTATAGCTTTTCTATGTAGCTATTATTTTGACCACTGCAGAATTGTAATAAAAAAGCCCATTTGGAAACAGGAAATGTGAGACAATTTGCTATAAAGCAACAGGCAGAGAGGCTGTGAGAGAAGAAGCTCACAGCTGACTTCACTCAGTGGGATTACAGAGCAGAGAGGCTGGGAGCTGCTGGGCAGGCAACATGCTGCTTCTGCTCTTTGCCTTCGTTTTCTTTGCTGAATGTGTGAATAATGGTGAGAAATCAAACTTTAACGCGGCTCGGTGCTCAGGTTTTTACATGAGAACAAATCAACATTTTTTTTCCCCTTCGTTTGTTTTGAAGCGGTGATAAATACAACCGACCACCATCCAGAAACGTTAGAAGGTAAGCTCTCTGTCTGCCATGATTAGTTGTGTTTGAGTTGTATGAATATGACCTATCCTAAAAATGGTGTAGCTACTTTTCTTTTACTTGTATGGGACTTTTTTTAAGCCTGCAAGCTTATTTTATTTTATGGCATTTAAAAATGTTAGCCAATGAAGTGATGATACAAGCCTGAAATCACTTAGTCACATGGTTGTTGAAATGCCATATTAGTGGGAAGTGGAGTTTCACACGAAATTGGATGCAGCAACTTGTTGAATTTTTTTCAAAGAACCTTTTTTTTTTGCTTTAATAATATATTTAAGTAGAATGATGGAAAACAAATGATTTGCAACAGTTTTTTTTTATTTTATTTTCAGCACTCCCTAAGTCACTTTGTGCACATAAAGGCCTCTTTATATACAGCATGCATATATAATTGGCCTCTTATCAGTCAGCTTTACTCTGTCTTTTACTCCTGAGAGAAGAAAATGAGTTTGGTGATTTTATGTAATTGTTTTTCAGAACTAACATCTGACACAAATTCATTGGTGGAGGGAGACATCTTGCTGAATGTAAGTACAAACGTCTTTACTGGTTTGTTTATAAAATCAGAATGCTTTTTTAAATTTTATTTTTTCCCACACCCATCTCTCCTGTTCATTTTGAACCTACTAATAAAATTGATTAAGTTAAACATATCCAGTACAATACCAGTGTTAGAGTAGAGGCTTTGCTGGAAATGTGCTGAAATGATTGAATGACTGTTAACAGAGTCAACTTGTCAGAGACATAAGAACTCGAAGAAAAGTCACCACTGAACCATTGAGTGTAAAGGTAAAACTTTTTTTTTTTTCAATGGATCAATCAAAAAGTTTTCACAGAAGTTATTTGAACCTTTTTTGGACCATTTTAAGATTGGATAAAAAAAATAGTCTAATAAAGAATGCAGCTCCTGATGCGTACTTGAGCAGAGCTTGAATACAGTATCAAACTAATTTGTCTGACTGAACTGTTGGTCCAAAAGCAGCATATGGTGACCATTTTTGGGAAATGATTTTTCCTTTCTACATTTAAAGCTAAATATTTTGACACATCCAAAATGAATAACTGATATTGTGATGTGTGTGTATTGCAAATGATGCCCCCAAAGGTTTTTAAAAAATCTTATAAGTTGATGTGTACTGTTATCTGAAAGGTCACTGCCCGCTTCAGTTCAGGCTGAAACATTTTTTTTTAAACTTCAGGTTTTCTATCCAACAAATGAACTACAGTTCTTTTGAGAACTAAATGTGTGAGCAGAACCGTGGTGGTGGGGGGCTACAGGATTCTGCAGACTTTGACGTACATCAAAAAGAAAAAAATCATGTAGGTCCTCTGGATGGGTTCTTCTTTGATAAAACGGTTTCTCTCCTTCAACAGACTTCAGTCTGAGTTTCAGGTGAACTCAGCCTTATAAGCACTGCCTCCACATGGACAAACAGGTTAGTCACATGCAAAAGAGGGCCATCGACTAACAATAGGCTTGTTTAGCCTGGTCCTTGCCTTCCCACGCAGTTCGGCTCAATTCTAGTTTCCCTTCACTGCTCCGTCTGGGACTTCTCCCATTGAGATGGATTTCCCTGGCAGATTTTTAGCCGGGCCAATCAGAGAACAGAACGTTAATTTTCTGCGCAGTGTCTGCTTGTAGTTTATTTCACCTGGGCCAATACGCAAACAGAAGGTGGAGTTTTGAATGACGTCGATGTTCTGCGCAGTATCTGCTAGTTATTTTGGCATACGGCAGTGGAGGAAGTGAATGAAGCCAGTCCGTGTTGAAAAGATTTCCAAATTAAAATAAATTTATCTGACAAAGCAGCAGCTCTCATTTACAGTCGTCTCATTTGGCTCGGTACGTTTCTCCTGAGTTGTTTACAGCACAAGCGATTTCCGGTGAGCTTCTTAGCTTAGCCTCCCTCACAGCGACATACGTCGCAGCCAACCGATCCAATCATTTTAAACTTCAGCAGAGGCCACGCCTCCTGCAAGAAACACTTCTCTATTCAGCAAGTTCAGACCCTTGTATGAAGCAAAGTGAAGGACAGGGTCTGGTTTTAACCAGGCTAGGCTTGATTAGGTGATGGCCTTCTTTTGCATGTGACTAACCCGTTTGTCCATGTGGAGGCAGTGCTTATAAGGCTGAGTTCACCTGAAACTCCTCAGACTGAAGAAGTCTCTTGGAAGAGAGACGAAACGTTTCACTAAAGAAGAATCCATCCAGAGGACCTTCCTTTTTTTTCTTTTTGAATTTTTTTTTCTACCTGGATTACAGAGATGCATCAGGACTTTGATGTATAATTCTTTTCTTACTCCCAACGTTCTTGACTGACAGTTGTGACACTTAAGGGTATCAAATCTTCGAGTATCACCATCTTGCGTGATTTAAATGTTTCTCTGCTACAACACACCCGATTTGCATGAATGAGGTAATTAACAGGCTTCAGCAGGATTTGAAGACGTAATTCACTCACTGGATCACTCACTGGATCACTCACTGGATCACTTACTGGATCAGGGAAACGAGAGGAAAACTTACAGGACAGCAGAACCTCAATGGCAACTTCAATTCACGTTTTACTCCCAACAGATGGCCACTACGTCATGTATGAATGTACTGTCAGTGTTTTGCCTTCAGCCTAATAGCATATTGGTATTTCAGTTTGACAAATTGACTTTAAACCAAGCTATGGCTGGGATGTTTAGTCAGCTAAAACCAACCCATTAAGCATTTGAAGTCACCAAGAAGGATAAGTTCAAGAAATAATTCTCGACCAAAGTCCTTTAATAAAATCTGAGCCAAACGATGACTTCTGTCATGTTACACCCTGCAGGACAACAGGAATGCAATGAGCACTGTTTGGCCAACAACACACATCCCATATGAAATTAGCCCAGAAATAGGTAAGAAACTTTTTTTTCTAACTTAAAAAATAAACACTTTTTTTTTTTACAAGATTTTTATTTCATTGCCGCCGCCTTCTAGAAAGCCGAACAAGCGACATCCTGGCTGCCATGGAGATGTTGTCTAAACACACCTGTATAACCTTCCACAAGAGAGGGACCGAGGTGGACTATGTGTTCTTCCAAAATGGAAATGGGTATGTTGTCAGAAATTGAAATGAACATGAAGGTGTGGGCCTACAGCTTGTTGGACCAAATCAGCCATTATCTGCTTATAAGGTCAAGAAGTCGGTCTCAGACTGGATCCATGGTGGTTTCACCTTCCCACAAACTGGCTTTGTTTCTGTAACTAAAAATGCCTTTTCCAGTAATCAAGTAGACATGATCAAAGTTGTAAATTGTGAGTTTTTGATTTTGAAGGTTTGTATTATAATGCCTGTACGTTGCAACAGAATATTGATGCTGCCACAGCTCTAAGGTCTCTGATCCCCCAAAGCTTCAATAATGGCGATCTCCAATCGTGACATCGGTGCATATTTTATCTGCTCTCTGAAGTGATCAGACAATCTGTTTAATGTGGAGGTTCAGTGTTTGATATTCTAGCAGAAAAACATTTTAGAGGAAATTCCAACACATAAGACTTCACCGGAAAGTTCAGGTAAAATATTGGCTGGAAGATCGAGGCCTTTGACACAATCAGAATCGCCTTTATTGTCATTACAAATTCAAAAATACTTTATTGATCCCAGAGGGAAATTTGGTAACAGTTGTTACAGTTCAGAACACCCATTCAGAAGAACAGACATAGAACAGGTGCCCTGGGTCATGCAGCCACAGACCCAAGGATCATCTTCATAAATACATCATGAGGAGGTGCAACCTTTAACAGAAAAACTAAAAACCACACAAGAGAAGTTGCATTACAATGAAATTGGGTTTGCTGCTCCAAGGTGCTTGTTTTTTTTTTTTAAATCATGATAAAATAACGTTAGCAGAGTAGACAATACAATACAATAAACGACTTAAAATCAAATAGACAAATGTGTCCAAAAAAGAGATGGAATATATTGTAAGAAAAATCCCCTATTATTCATTTCTACATACAGAAACACTTTGATCTCTTTTTTTTTTTTTTACAGCATACAGTATATTGACAGATTTTGAAAGTGAGCGGAATTGTTTAAAAGATTGGGGTTTTTACCATTGCCTTCTAGCTTTGATTGCTGCATCTTATGTATGTACTTGCTACCTGGTGGGGACAATTTTTGACCATTTTTCCTGGTACACAGCCGGGTGAAGATCCACTGTTCATTATGGGGACAAAAGCCTGGTCCCCATTGTGGGAAATACAGTTGCTGGGTTAGGACTAATGTTTAAATTGAGTTTAGGGAACAGACATGATCAGTAAATGAATGGAAGTCAATGCAGAGTCCCATGAGGGTGTGTGTGTCCGTCCCATCACTTGAATCTGTTAAACTGCATCTAAGCTTAGGAAATGTGACTATTTCTTCCATGTGGGGAAGATACTTTAGCACAATACTTTTTGGTCCTCCTAGTGGAGTTTCATGCTTTCTCAAATTTAAGTTTAAACACTGCTAAACCAGTGCGAAGTGACTGAAACTAACAGATGCTACGATAGTTTCCCCTTTAATGGGACATAGTCTTGTGACTGTTCTAAAAATAGCCAGAGTGGAAGTCCTATTTGGCTAATCTTTATAAAAAAAAAATCTGGCATAGTTGCATGCTTGGGTAGCTCCTTACAACAATTGTGAACTCGTATTGTTTCCTTTTTAGGATTGTGAATTGCACATCTATTTAAAAATGATAATATCTTACGATTGGTAGCCTGTTACCCCCCCTCCCCACACTTAAACCTCAGTCAAGTTCCATCCATTAATCATAATCACTAAAACTGTGACTTTGGTTTACTGGGAAATGTGAAATTTAACCTGCAGCTTTTGTGTGTTCTGTTATCCAGCTGTGCCTCATACATAGGCTTCATTGGTGGCAAGCAGAGTGTGTTCATGCCACCCCAGTGCTCTTCGGGTAACATCGCTCATGAGCTTCTTCACACCCTTGGCTTCCAACATGAACATACCCGGTCAGACCGTGACCAGTACATCGAGGTGGTTCAAAATAACATATTGCCAGGTAGCGTCGATGTGCTCCTGTTTTTAAAATGACTGAATCTCTTGCCTTCTACACTGAATAAGAATTTCGGAGGGGAAAAAAAGTTTGGAAATGTTTTCTGTTTAAAATGCTAGAAGGTACAAAACTACTGAATAAAATTGAGCAATGCATGAAAGTCACTATAAATAATAGAATACAATTGAGGATGTTCTAGTCCCTAAGACGAACTTGTAGACCTATTTACCACCTACATGTGTGTTTGTAACATTTCATGAACTACTGGTTGGATTTACACTATCAAAGAAACTGGGTGTACATCTTCAACAAAATAGCTTTTATGTCTTAAAATTTTAGATGGCCACCATGATTGAACTTGGCCAACACACAATCATGGCTGTACAGTATAGTGAAGCCCCAGTTTTCACAGGCATTGAGATCTTAGAGAGACCTATCTGCAAATGGTTGAATGTGAATATTGGATGTGGTCTGGAAAAGGTCTAAAGCTTGTTTAGGTGGCACCTTTTAATGTATCAAACAGTGAAACCGTTAGCAGCTACACACCACACATTACTGTTAAGTCATTTATTAGAAGGCAGAAATGCTGCACTCTGCACTTGCATCACATCCTATACTTTTTTTTAAAATGTGGAATTGAATTTAAATTGTTACAAAATGGGTAAATTTAGTTTTAGAACTCTCAAGCAGGAAAATAAATGGTGTTTCTTACTCTACTGTATTTTCGGTTTTAATTTTTGGGTTACTGCAAACAAGTAGTTGGGTTCCATGAAAACATCCCTGAAAGACTATGAAATACAACTTTGCAGGACTTCATTGTATAATAAATCATACTCATAAAAGCTGTGTGGTACACATGTCTTTTAGGGATGGAGAACAACTTCAATAAAATTAATGGTGAAACGTTTGGAATTCCCTATGACTACACTTCCATCATGCACTACGGAAGGTAATGTTTACCAAATACGAAGCTTACCAAGTAGAAATGTTTTTTTTAAATCTCTCAACAATTTTTCTTCACTTTTGTTAGGACGTTCTTTTCATCGAACGGGCAAGCCACAATCATTCCAAAAGACAGCGATGTACATGGAATGGGACAGAGGCAAAAACTGATGAAGTCGGACATCGAGAGAGTCAGACATCTTTACCACTGTGGTATGTTCATGTTCTGTTTGTATACATATAGCATAAAGAACCAGGTTAAACACTTGTTTTTTTTCTCTACCCTCTACTTTATCTTTTTGGTTTTTGTTGTACCAAACATCAAAAAATGTTTGTTTTTTAGGTTTGAATAGCTGGATAAATTTATGTTATAATATTCAAAAGATCAAATCAGATCAATGGGTAAAAGGATCTCCCAACCCTTACTCGAAATGAAGCATTTTAGCCTGAAAGGTTCAGTTGCAGGGTATGTAAATTTATTTTTTGTTAATTTCTTCTCAGGCACACATTCTGCGTTGCAAATATCCATTCAGAAACACTAGATAAAGAAGTGGAAACATTTAAATTGTCTGGACAGGGAACTCTTGAAAAGCTAAATACTTAAGTAAAATGTCCAAACTTTTATAACCCACCTCACTACTCTCTAAAGAGTGCTTGCCTAATTTTACTTTCTTGTTTTTACTAGATGACCTGAAATCAAACAGCATGACTGACAGCTGAGAATCCCTCCTGCTTCCTACGTTCAATCTTCCTCCTCGCATCATCACAACTCCACCACCAGAGAGCGCATCAGCACAAAGCAAGCCTTGACTGCTCTGAGAAGTTTGTAAAACTTGCATGTACAGAACCTGAAATCTGATGGATTAGTTTGGAATTACTACACACACAAAAAAAAAAAAAAAAAAAAAAAAAAAAAAAAAAATTTTATACAAAACAAAAAAAAAAAAAAAAAAAAACTGAAATGAAACAAGTTTCATCAAGACAGTAGTAACCAAACAAATCAGCACTCGTGTGGAAGCGGGATCAGAAACAAAACATGGGATTTGATTTCTTCACAAAAGATGAGCTTAACGTTGAATAGTGAAGTATTTGAGTGCGATAATAAAATTTACATTCCTTCTACGTTCCCTGTAATTTGTGCTCTCCTTCCTCAAAGCAAAAGATTAGAAATGTGTTTTGTAAAAGTGGGACTACCTAATACTTTCCAAAAGTCTGCTGATGTAGGTTGTCAGGTGGTAAGAAACCAGTGCAGTCCAGGTTTGGTTGCTGCTTGGCATAAACCTTACAACAAGCATGAATCAAATTAAATAAATTTTGATATTTTTTCCTTATTTTTTTTTTTAGTGGTTTGTTCTGCAACAGTAGGACAAATGAGTTCTTTGGTCAGCAATGTTTGATGGCAGTAATGTAGCTTGGTAGCACTGAGATACATACCCCAAGAACAGGCTACAAAAGAATTCAAATAGGTGTTGGAGCAGAGAAGCCTCTAATGCCTGTAGGATAACAGCCCTACCAGGATTGCACACCCTTGCACCAAATGGAATCAAATAGTCAGATTATACACATTTGCACACACAATCTCAAACCATTTTCAAAAAACTACGACTGTATTCCCATTTCGATTCAAATGGGTGTTAACTTTATTGACATGTCTTTTTTTTTAACCAACATAAGACAGCTTTGCATCTGTCTTGGTGAATAACAGTGTTGTACCACAGAGTGATACTTGAGTAAAAGTACAAGTATCTCACCAAATTACTTTGGTTAAAGTTGAAGTCTCTTTTAGGAATATTACTTGAATAAAAGTCTTAAAGTAACTGATACTTTTTGTACTTAAGTATTAAAAGTAAAAGTATTGAATTAAAACCAGCAGTTAGATTTTCTGTAATGACATTTATTAGGAGGTGACCCCCCACCCCAAATGCAGAAATGACTATTGTATTAAAACAATTTATGTTTAAATTTAAGATGCACTAGTCTAGCTGTTTCAGTTTATATACAAATGAAAATCTGAGGGCTGTGGCCAAATGCAATAATATAATTCATGAAATACAAATACTACTTAAGTACAGTCCTTTTTATTTAAATGATTATGTCCTGCTGGAGTGTGACATGATTTGATTGTGTACAAACTAATATGGTATCAGAATTTTACACATTTATACTTCTCATTCAGACACAGTTAAATTCACCCTAAGGAGGCAAAATTTATATGGATACTATTAATTTTTTACAATAACATTCTGGAATAAAAACAAGCAAAATGAAATAAAAGTAACGACTTTCTACTTCTTGCCTTTCTTAAAAATGTAAGGAGTAGAAAGTACAGATAATTGTGTGAAAATGTAAGTAGAAGTAAAAAGTAGGCTGAAAATTAATTACTCAAGTACAGATACCCAAAAATTCTATAGTAAAGAAGTATTTGTTGTTACTTCACAACTCTGGTGAATAATCGGCTTCAAAGAGGCGTCACAAATGACTTATATGCAGTTTAGATTATTGATTTCAGCACAAAGGTTTTAAAACGGTCTAGGTGTGCATCACTTATAGTTCCTGGCGTGCTTTTAGAGACAAGGTTAGAAAGGCTTTATTAGGTCATGTTGGATTACAACTCAGTAAACCAGAGTCAGCAGAGTCATGCCCTGTTGTACTTAGGCTGATTTCCACAAAACTTTAAGTTGCAAAATATCTATTTTTAATCCTGATCTATAATGCTTATGTAAAGTTAATTTTCAGTTATTTTCCATAAGTTCTCTCTCACGCTCTCTGGGCCAATACAGCTAAAACTGCGAGAAGAAGCAGTTGCCTTCTCTTTTCTAAGAAATGTGTCCCTTCAGACATGCAGGGTAAAGCCAAAAGCTGACTTATTGTGTAGTAAAAGTAAATGTCTACGTCTGGTTTGAGACCTGCAAGAATTAAAACAAAATAAACGCCAACAGTATACTTAGAGGGGGGAACTTGGGTCTTCTATTTATCAAGGCGTTTGCATTTTCCATTACACCAAACAGCCTCATTTTGGCACCAATACAATTCAAGACTGTGTACAGAATGCCTGCAGCGTAGAGGCAATTGGTAATTAGATTTGTTTATTCCTGATTTAGCTCCCCAATTTTATAACAATCAAGTGCCCATGCATACAATAATGCAATGGTGAGATTTTATTGCTGAGCCAGGGCAGATGTGTCGGCACACTGAAAAATCTTCTGATCCTGAATGGAGTTTTGGAGTTTGATTCTCACACTCAAACTTTTTTAAAACAGATTTTTGGATTTGAATTTTTAATTCTTAAGTACTTTAGTAGATCAGTGCATGAAAAACCTGCTTGGTTTGAGCTTTAAAACAAACAAACAAAAAAATAAATAACTGAGATGGCAAGCCTCTTTTTTTAAACAAGCCTCAACGAACCTCAGGTCATTACCATTTGTTTGGACCAGAAGATATCTATATCTATATCTATATC